GGAACACTCCCAAATTCTTTGTATAACCCAGTATTACTCCAGTACCAAAATCAAACAAAAACCCAACAAAAAAGAAAATTCCATCCGATTAACATAGACACAAAATTCTCAAAATATAAATCGTATGGAAGAGTAGACCAAAAAGATTAATGACCATTATCAAGTTGACTTCATACTAGAGATGCAGGAATGATTCAACATACATAAATAAGTGTAATCCAACACATAAACAGACTTGAACAGAAATCATGTGTTCATCTCATTAGATGCATTAAAGTCCTTTGACAAAATCCATCATCTCCATGGTAAAAGCCATGGAGAATCTAAGGGTGCAGGGGGAAAACTCACAGTATTTCCATTAAAATCAGGAACAAGACAATGGTATCCACACTCTCCACTCCTACTCAGTACAGTACTTGAGGGAGGTCTTAACTTAGAACAGTAACACAAGTGAAGGATATGAAGGGAATAAAAATTGGAAAAAAAGTATTTTCATTTGCAGATGATTCTGTATGTTAAAGACTCCACCAGAAAATTCTTAGAGCTGTTAAGTACATTCAACAAATAGGATATAAAATTAACTCACAAACTCAGTATCTTTTTATATATCAAAAACAAGAATACTGAGAAAGAAATCAGAGACACAATCCCATTCAGAATAGCCTCAAAAACCATAAAATAGCTCAAAATAAGTCTAAATAAGAATATGAAGGACTTGTATAATAAAAGCTTTAAGACACTGAAGAAAGAAATTAAAGAATATACCAGAATATGGAAAGACCTCTCATGCTCATGGGTCAGTTTTATTAATATTGTGAAAATGACTATCCCACCAAAAACAATCTACAAATTCAATGTTATGCCCATTAAAATTCCAACACAGTTCTTCACAGCAATTGAAAAAATATTTCAAATTTCATATGTGTTGTAGTAAACTTTCCCCTTCCCACTCTCTCTTTGACCTACCCTCACGCACAACTGCTGGAGGCATAACCATCCCTGATCTCAAATTATACTTCAAAGGTGTAAGTAAAAACAACATGGTACTAACATAAAAACAAACTTATCAGTGGAATAAAATTGAGGATCCAGATTTTAATTCACATGTTTGTAGCCACCTGACTTTTGACAAATAATCTACAAATACACACTGGAAAAAAGCATGTTCAACAAATGGTGCTGGTCAAACTGGATAAGGACATGTAGAGAAATGAAACTAGATCCCTGTCTCTCACCACACACAAAACTCAACTCCAAATGGATTATGGACCTCAGCATAGGAGCTGATACCTGAATATTATGGAGGAGGAGGTAGGCAGTACACTGGAATTCACAGGCACAGGAAAGGACTTTCTGAACAGCACTCCAATAGTGCAATATTAGCTCCAACAATTGACGGATGGGACCACATGAAACTAAAATGCTTCTGTACAGGAAAGGATATCGTCAGTTGAGTCGACAGAATTGGATAAAGTCTTTACAATCTATATATCTCTAATAGGTTAGTATCTAGAATATATAAAACTCAAAAAACTAAACATAAAAAAAAAACAATTAAAAATTGGGGCAAGGTGGTGAACATGGAATTCTCTAAAGATGAAATGCAAGTGGATGAAAAATACCTTTTAAACATTCAGTATATGTAGTCATCAGGGAAATGTGAATTAAAACTAATTTGAGATTTCGTCTTACTCCAGTTAGAAAGGCAAAGATCCAAAAAACAAGCAATGACAAATGATGCTGAGGATGTGGAAAAAGGGGAACTCTGATCCACTTCTGGTGGGAGTACTAGCTGGTGTAGCCTCTATGGAAATCAGGGTAGACATTCCTCAGGAAACTCAAAATTGGTCTACCATGTGATCCAGGAATACCAGTCTTGGACATATACCCCAAACACTGTATCATGCCACAGAAATACCTGTTCATCTGTGATCACTGATTTCCTTTTCATAGTAACCAGAAACTGGAAACAACCTAGATGTAGATCAACTGATGAATGAATAGTGGAGTATGGTACACATACACAATGGAATATTATTCAGCTCTTTAAAAATACAAGAAGATGAAACTTACAGGTAAATTAATAGAACTGGAAACAACCATCCTGAGTAAGGTAACCCAGACTTAGAAAGACAAACATTTCATGGTCTCTCTCATAGCTGGATCTTTGAAATCTTAGATATGTGATGTTTTAATTTGAAAATTGAGAGGTCAAGAAAGCAATAAACAGCCACAGGGGCAGCCTTCCTGGGAGGGGAGATGAGATTCAGTGATATAAAGGAGCAAAGGGGAATAGTAGAATAGGAAGTGTTAAATGGGGTGGGAAATGGGAGGGCAGGTCAGAGGAGGGAGTTATGGAGAGGGGTAAATAACATTACGGGTTTTAGAAAAAGTATATAGAAACAACACAGAAGATTCTCAAAATATGTACGTATACACTATAAAAATAGATTAACAGGAGTTACCTTACAGCTGGGAATAGTGCTCCTACTAGACAACACAGGCTAGCAAAGTAGAAGCCTAGTGCCAGGAATAGACTCCCTGTTTTGAAGCTGTTGACCACGGGTCCCATAGATCTTCAAACAATACTGGACATTGCCCCTGCTCTTGGTTACCACCAAAACTTGATGGTAAGACCCTATTACTGAAGATACTATGAGTTGTAGAACAAACAAGAAATCAAGTTGGTGCTGATTTCAAAGCTTGATCTCTATTGGCTAGCTTTCAAACTGGTTCAATAGTTTTAATAGTTGCACAGATATTATGTGAGTAGCCAGTTGCTTTCTAATTAGATTAAAGGTCCATTCATAGGATGGAGTCCATGACCTGACATTGATATCAGAACCTAAGGCTAGATAAGTCACAGGTCATAGGGGAGAGCCTGATACTAGTTTTCTGCCATATATATCTAGTACTAAACTGACTCTTAATGACTTATTGTTACACCTGTGAATTAGTGCATCTCTCAACTCTCAGCAGAGAAGCTTCCTCATGCAGCAGATGGTGATTAACACAAAGAATCACAACTGGCCAACATACAAGGAATAAGAGGCCGCAGAGTGCTTGTCTGTGGATAAGACACCCATATCAAACTCCTGATTCCCAAGGCTCAGTGATCATTGTGGAAGCATGGGCATAAAGTTTGTAAGAGCCAGAGTTGGTGGACCATGACAAGGAAACAGTTTTCTAGACAGCTGGGAAGTTACTCATGAACTCACAGCAATGGTGGCAGCATGCATAAGTTCCACAGAAACTCAAGCCACTATAGAAGTGAGGAGTGGATAAGAATCCCCAACCTTACTGAGGAACTCTTAGCCCCTAATATCTGCTGGGAGGGATAGAGTCAGTCTTGTTTAAAACTGAGACTTGGTAGATTGACCAGGCCCTAGTGGATGAACCCATATCCAAAGGCATTTGGGGAAACCAATTTGACTCTGTAGGCTTCAAAATGTGTATACATACATATCAGTACATGAAATTGTCGGGGGCAGTAAGTGCGGTACAGACAAGGGAGGGAATCTGATACAATAAAAATCGAGGCCAGCCTGGTCTACATAGTGAGTTCCAGGACAGCTGGGGCTATAGGGAGACCCTGCATCAAAAGACAAAAAAAAAAAAAATTTCAGCCACGAAGAAAAACATCATTTGCAGGAAAATGGGTACAATTGGGGACAACCATAGTAAGTGAGTTAAATTTGTCTCAGAAAGAATACTACATTTTTCTCTAATTTGTGGATCATAGATTCTATATGGATACATAAAATCATTATGTATATATGACATATATAGAAATAAAAATGTTGAGGGACAAAGGGGACCAATGGAAGAGGACGAGGAGAAAGGGGAGCTACAAGTATGGGGGAAATGTGATCAGCACACAATCGTATACAGTGAATAAATGTGTTTTAAAATAAAAATTTCGCCATGTTCCTAAAAAGTTAAAAATAGAGGTCTTTTAATTTAGTGAATTAAAGATTTAACCAAAAACTGAAGGAAGAATAGTTATAGTTCAAACATCCTGGAATAACATATAAAGTGCAAAAGAATGAGAATTATGTGCAGTCGTGGTTTGTAAACCATTTAGCCATCACAGAGGATGGAGCAGTGAATCAAACTGACATTGTGCAGATGAATTCTTACATAGCTCTTGCTTTCTTTTTATGTCAGGTGATTATAACATTTTTACTGTTACTAGTGTGTGATGTTGGGTGGGGTTGAGTGTGTAAGTACAGACGGTACACATGAATTCAGAAGAAAACTTTCAGCAGTCAGTTTTCTCCATCCACCAAGGTACTGGGGTTCAAGGTACTGGGATATATATATATATATATGTGTGTGTGTGTGTGTGTGTGTGTGTGTGTGTGTGTGTGTGTGTATATCCATAGGGCACAATGCTATAAATTGATGTCAGCTCACATATGATCTAGTAAATGCGGAGTCTCACATGACACGGGAACGTCAGTGCATCTGTTGTTTGTTTATGATTCAGCCATAAGCTGCCTGGTGGGTAATTAATAGTTTAAATTCTTAATTTTTAGGAATACTTTGAAAGGAACAAGTTAAAATCAAAAATGAAATCACTAGGAGTTTTTTCACCTGTCAAGAATCCCACTGCCAGTTTAGACCTTCTTAACCTGTATATGGTAAATCAGATTTCGTCCAAGAAGAAAACACCTGGTAGGTTTTTCTGAGGCATTTTGTTTTTATATGATGTAGTTATAACGTCTATGTTTCTAATTGGTTTGAAATTTCAAACTGAAAACTATGTAGAAAATTAATTTTAAAATGTGGTTGAGGTTTTTGGGGGGTGTCGGAACAGGGTCTGCCTGGAGCCCCAACTTGTCTAGAAGGCACTGGTTCTGGCCTTGATCTCACAGAGATACATCTTCCTTTGCCTCCTAAGTACTAGGACTAAGGTACCCAATATTTGCTTAGAACTCTTTTGTTGCTTAATCTATTTATTTTAGTTTTAGGTTATTTATGAGTATAATTTATTATGGCTCATTTAACTTATTGTACAATTACTGCACTTAGAACATTATCCTTAGGCAAATAGTCACCAAAGTTGAGCTTGAGAACAGACAGTAGTAAATGTGTTATCTCAAACTACTCAGTAAGTTTGTGCAGAAGCAATGACTGAGAAGACTTTTGTCTTAGTGACTTCTTTCCTGTCTTAAATCTTAAATTTTTTATGCTCTTCTGGATATAAAGTCAGTCTTATAGTCAAATAAAGTTTATTTTGTACCACACTTTGATTCTTTGACTAAATGTAGTATCTTTTCCCTCTCTTGAAGGAACTTGGGCTCATTATTTAAATTTTAAAACAGGCGTACATTGAAACAGATACATTATTCATGAATTTTTGAGATAAAATATCTTACTTTTAATCTGATATACTTAAAAAAAAAGTCACAGCAGCCAGGTGTGGTTGCACATGCCTTTTATCCCAGCACTCAGGAGGCATAGGTAGGTCCATCTCTGAGACAGAGCCCAGCCTCATCCACATATGGAGTTCCAGGCCAGCTGGGGCTACAGGAAGACCCTGTCTCAAAATACCAAACCAATCAAAAAAAAAAAAAAAAAAACCAAAAAAAAGAAAGATTTTTAAATAAGCTCTCAAAAATAGACTCTTGGATTCATTAATAACCAAAAATCTAATTGTTCCTTCCTGGGGTGGCAAAAGAGGCTGCTAATCAATTTCTCCTAGCAAAAGATGAGTATTTTTATTATAGCCCTTCAAAACAGCAAAGCAAAAG